TGATGTTTGCGTGTGAGGGAAAAGAGCAAGTCAGTGCTCTTCAGTGCAAAACAGAGGGTAATCAATCTCTTTTTAATATGCCAAAAATGAAATAAATAAACATGGACGATGTTTTCAGTTTTTTTTAACAAAACAATCCAGTTTTACTGCCTTTCACTTGCTACAGAGAGTACGCTGGGTTAGACTGGAAAGTCCTCACCCGTGTTGCGTTAAATCATTCATTTCTTTCTAGTAATTAGCCTCAGTCCCAATATTTCTGTCATGCTGTTAATGTGTATGTTCTTGTGTCTTTCTTAGGCCACAGTTTGTAAGAACAAGTGAGAGAATATGATATTGAGAAGCTGCATTACATTATTTGTTGCAAAATGCTATAAAATATGAAAGCTTAGACAACAAGAAAACGCAGTTGGCATGCAAATTCAGCGGTGTTATCTAAATCTCCATAAATATCAGACTGCTGCAGTTTACGTAAGTACAAGGACCTTGAAGGGTTGCAATAGCCTGTCAAACACAGCAGCTGTTTTATTCTCACCTGTTTTGCAAGGGGTGCTTGATATACTGCTCAGGATTCGCAACGACTTGGCTGTCAGTCGGTTGATCTTCAGTTTCAGGTGCTTTCTGAGGAGAGACACACACACGCACACACACATCGTGAGACAGAAGACATTCATTCAAAATGTCTACATCAGTATCCTTCCTGTATGTCCATTGATCGGCATCATAAAAGTTAAGAGTTTGCATAGGTTTCATGCAAAGCTATGGAGGGGGAGATGCATTAATGTATTACCAACTTGTGATAGGAGGCTAGATGTGGCGTTGTGGTTACAGTTATGTCACAATGTAGCATAAATGAGGTCTTGGCCCTGACTTTAAAGTCATCATTACACATAAGTGGTAGTTTTCTAAACCTTTTTTAAACTGGTCAAGCAGAATAAGATAAAGTATTGGTAAAATCATCCCTCATTGGCCACCCTATCCACATTACAGTTACTGATATTTCTCAGGGAATATATATAAAGTCCAAACATTTACACCACACTGTCGAGTTGTAAGTAGTAGCTAACCCTTAAAGTAGGCTAATAGTACCTTAAATATTTGACAGTAGTGTCCATCTTTACAACGTCAACCTTTTTAACCATTAAACCTAAAGGCCCACAGAAGACAGCTAGCATTAGAGGTGGGTAAAACACATATATAAGCCTAATAAAACACGAGCTAACCTGAGCTGGGTAAGTTACCATCGCTAGCATTAGTTTTAGCAGACGTTAGCTAAGCTAGCTACGAGCTAGACACACACGTGTCCAGATTGTCCTAAAAAATCAATCAATACAATCCTAGCGCGAGCTTTTAAAAGGTACTGGGAGTCGATTAAAAAAAACCACCGTACGATATTGACCCCAATATCGAAGTAGCGTAAAACAAATCGTGGATTGGGAGTTTGAATGAACGACGTGCAGTCAGTCAGTGAGTCCCTCCCTTGCCAACAAAGTCAGGCTCAGCCTACATCCATCACATTGCTGTGCATGCTAACGCTAACTGTGCTCCACGCGAACTCACACATCTGTGGACTCACCCCCCCTCCCCCTCTCTCCCCCCCCTCACACAAAGAAATAAAATATAACCGGTGTCGTTTCAAGGATGTGAGACTATATGGTGAAGATGTAGCTTTTATTTCCATACACATTAGTCGGTTTTCCTCCCCCCCCCCGCTCTCCCTCTCCCTCCACTCCTCCCCAGCTATCTCTTGTCTCTCTTACCGGCTCCGATGTCGCCATCTTGACAGAAGAAATGTTCTGCCCGTTCAGCGCTTCTGCGTCACACTCCAACCACTCACACACACCTACGGAAGCCGAGGTGGGTGCTATGAAACCCAGAGAGGGATCCCTGTTAAAGAATAAAATAAAAAATAAAGGACACACACACATAAAATCTCAAAGTGCTGTTTCTTTCCAAGAAGTTCTTCCCAGAAGTCAGAATAGTGTTTATAAAGATGAATTAAAAAGGCTTAAACACAATATTATTACTGACATGGGATTCCTGTTTCTTGTCTGACAGTATTGTTTCTGGACCCTTACAATCCGCCACCCCTACTTTACTTCATAAAAGTACATTTGAGCTCCCATTTCTAAAAATAAAAAGTCCTTGTTACTGAGGATGAGCATCCTTGCTGCTCCTCCCATGCATTAATGAACAAGATGTGGGTGGATAATATGGTAAAAATCCTCTTTAATAGTATAGGCAATATTATTTCACACTATTGTTGCGGTATTAATAATGTAATAATTGTTTTTTGGGAGACCAGTGGATTAAATATATTAAAATCACGGTATCTCATCCCATTTCTTCTGAATACTCTAAATCCAATATTACTATATAGGGAGCCAATACTATCCAATCCAATCCAACTTTATTTGTTCAGCACTTAAAAAACAACCAAAGTTGACCAAAGTGCTGTACAGGAGAATAAATAAGACATCATAAATGTACTACCACATATATTAATGGAATGGCTATCAGGTTAAAGACAATATAGCAAAATCTTAATTTTTCTCATGATATTTCTCAACATATTCCCAAACTCAAAGACAAACTATTGTATATTATCTTTGAAATCATCCCATAATAACATCATAGGCTTTTGTTATCACAATTCTCTCATATGTTTCTGTAACTTCATGTGCATAAAATTAAAGAGAAAAATAATCTTACAGCAAAAAGTCAAATAGTCCATTACCTCCATGCTATTTTTCTGTTACCTCTTATAAAAGCAGTAACTCGTGAGCCTCTAGAGGTCATCCTACCTTCTTTCATCTGCAAGAACTGACTGTTGCTGATTAGGAATTGTTTTACTCTTTCCTTCCTCCAGCAAGGTCAGGATGCAGAGTGATCACTGGGGTTGGCAGCGATTCACAGGAACTAAGTACTAGTTTTATACTTCTACTCCACTATATTTCAGAGGGAAAGAATTCTTATTTTTTATATTGTTGCGCAAGATAACTTGAGTGCAAAAATTATTGTCTTATGCTGAAAATAAATAAATAAATAAACTTTCTGCACCTTGGGGACTCAATAATTTAACTGAAAGAGGCAAATTTGCATGATGAGTGCTTTTACTTTTGCTATTCTAGTTCATTTTTCTGTTGATACTTCTGTTGCCTACTTTTACTCAAGTGTGCAGGACTTGAAACCCTGTGATTTTACATTGTAGTATTGTTACTTTTACTTAAGTAAAGGATCCGAATACTGTTTCCACCACTGGGGATTTAATAACCAATTTATAACTGACTTTTATCCTGACCACTCTACATCTCACCTGAGCAGGATTAGTACTACAAACAGTATACACATACATTTATATAACATCATAATTAGTTATACCCGGCTGTGACGCAGCATCTTTGTTTATTCTGATGGCACACTTACAGTAGCACAGCCGTATTAAGGGAAGGTGAGGTGTCCTTTCCAAACTTCCCGGTATCATGGATTTAAGCACAACAGGTAACTCAGAGAAGATGTACAATTGAAAGTCTGAGATGTTGACGGACAGGCCCATACTGTGATGTAAAATTAAGGCTGGTATAAATTACAAAGCTCATTATGGCCACAAGGGCTCAGTTACTGACTTCTTCCACCATGCGGTTTAGTCACATGTGGCTTTCTGTGTTAGCAAATTTCACGCAATGATGTGCAACTTTAAAAAGGTTGGAAAGGTTGACAGAAACCATAAAGATATACCAATGTGCTCAGCAACTGTAATATCCTAACCCTTGAACATCGTGTTTTCTGTGACATGTGATTAGTCATTTCCTGAATCCTAACTATGATGTCCACACGTCATCAACCTTTCAAGGATTTAACATCATTTTACGTCTACTTAAATTCTTCACAGACTGTGTCCCTGGTGTAATCACTTAATCTCTCACTGCCCAGAACTGAGTGAAGACAACCACTATGTCACTCACATGTCCAGTGATTCTCAACAGACTATAGTTTATTTTGTAATAGGCAGTAAATTGAGATTTCAGACATTTATGAATCATCATTTTGTGTCATCACTGTTCTTCTGTGGGAGTTATATTTCACAGTAACACAATAACTCAGTTATTATTTAATTCAATGTTTTCACTGTGGGTTATTAAAATTAGCTCCACCTACCATCTACAAAATGTCAATGATGAACACTTAATAACACTTATGATCCAGTAATGTTTATTCTTCTGAAATGCTCCATTCTGCGTAATGAGTACATTTGGTACTTTTAGTATATTGTGATAATAATGTGCTAATACTTATTGTATGTACATTTTTGTGAATTTTGAAAGCATTTTTACTTGTAACAGAGCATTTTTATATTGTGGTATTGCTACAATGACTTATAATAAAAAGTGGATGAAGAGTACTTCAACCACTGTTTTCCTTCAGTCACTGCAGGCTGCCTACATATAGTGAAGAACAGCATGTTGATTTATTATCTCAATACTTATTTCTCAATATGCTTGGGTTGTGTGGTAATGGCAATAATTATGATTGTTATTTAGAATAGACTAAACTTCTCAAGCAGACTTGTGTTTGTTGAAGTTACTAAGTTTTCACTGAGTCAGAAGCAAATTATTTTCCAACATCATCTGAAAGAAAAAAAACAAAACATCATGTTACCAATCCTGGGGAGAAATGATACAAAAACAAGTGATTCATTCCCAAACAAGAGGTCAAAGTCTAAATTACTGAACTGAAATTCCTCAGCAGTGACTCATACAGTATGCTTGTCTGGGAAATTCAGAAAGAATAAAAGTGTTTTTGGCTTTCCTGAATAAAAATAAACCCATAAAATATATTCTGCTTGGCTTGTTAAAAACAGGTCGACCTACTAACACGAGGTCCTCATATGTCAAAAGATGTGTCACACACACACACCCACACACCCACACACACACACACACACACACACACACACACTGTACACAGCACATGTGTACAAATCAGGACAGAAGAACTTGTGATCAGGTCCAAAATATAAATATGACTTTATTTCACAATCCCGAAAGAGATCAGCCATCCATAAAAGGAATGCTAAATTTAGTCTCTTCTCAAGTCTAAACTGGATATACTTTCAGCAACATACAGTAATTCAGTTTCAAAATAAGCAAGATCATCCATTGTCTAAACACCATTAACAGTACAGTAAAAACAATATGGTTCACATACATATTTACACATTTTCTACTAACAAAAGTTTTTTTTTTTTTTTTTTCCCAGATTTTTTTTAATGCTGGTGCTAGTTGTTAGTTCCTTGTTGATACAAAGACTTCCAATGTGGACCGAGAATGTCCCCCACAGTAAATCAAAAGAAACTTTGTCATGTTCAAAAATCTTCTTTCTGAATCAACTGATTTAAAAACTGTTTACATTCATTTCATTTTGCGTGTATGCTGTGATTTGTGAGAATTGTCGGAGAGTTTGGTTCTCTGTGGAAGACATTTGAACTCTAGATGGACATCTGCACAACAATTTGCTTTTATTTTACTGGTATTTAGAAAAAAAAATCATGATCAGTGGTGGGATGCCAACACATCTCAGTCTCTTGTCAGCCAGTAATCATCCAGAGAAATGATAAAACTACCTTTGTACAGAATCATATACCAGATCAGTGTGTGCTGAGTTTCAGAAAAAAGCACCATGCCATCACCGTTCAGTATATAACCAGTAAGGTCAATGTATGTACCTTGACATCTTGTCCTATTAGCACCAAAAGGAAGTCCAAGTGTCTAAAAGTCCAAAATGTTTCTCACAGGAAACGTCATACCACCAGTGTTAGTGTGAATAGCAGTGAAAGGTCTTTATCGGTTGTGCTGAAATATCATCGATGAGTTCTTAAAATGAAGAGCTTCTCTTTCATGGGTAATAAAAAATAAACATCCTGATTCACCAGGAGTTGACACCAACCCCCTCATTCAGACCCTGTAAAAAAAGCTATCTGTAAACAAAGTCTTCACAAGGGTCGAGCACCCGAAATCATCTTAGGCAATTGTCTGAGTGGGATCAGATGTTTGAGTGGTTTTCCAACAAAAGCAGAGAGGAGGCAAAAGAAGAAAAAGTTTGATTAGTCAGCATTGGCTAACAAGTTTTGTTTTCAGATCTGACACTCTGTGATTATTGTGAAAAAAAACCAAAACAACAGAGGTCTCATTAGCACCATTAAATGTACAGTAAGTTTCTGAAATCCTATAATCACACTTGTGCCCTGTGAAAGACTTTTGAATTCCTTTTCCAGAAGGTGAACGTAAGTGCCAATCATAATAAGCACTTCATTGTTGCAGCATTTCACGATTCCTTATTATAAGTTTTGAATTTCATTAGATATGTATACCATTTCAAATCAAATAAATGTAGAAATACTGTAAAAATAAAACCGGGTTCATGCGAAACTGTCATATATATCTCTATCTGTACATACATATTCAGGCCTATGGATTGGGACCCTTTTCAAGTTAAGTTTAGGAAAACAAAAAAAGTGCTTCTTAATATGCCATACATATCTGTGAATAAAAGACAAACCATCCAGACAAAGAGAAACCAAAACAAACAAACCAAAGAAGTGCGTTTCTTTCATCAACTGCCAACAGAAGTCAGAGGCAGCAGAGGGAAAAGCACATTGCTACATGTGACAATCTGTAGTAAATATATGCACGATATTAGTCTTGTTTTCTACATTATGTGATGTAATGAGTTTGCTAAACGTAGGTTACAGTGAGAATGGCACCAATGTAAAAGCCAGTGAGATTCATCTCACAAAAAGAGAACCACTGGCTAAAAATAAAGAGCATAGTCCTACTGTACAACATAAATTCTGAGCGTCAACATAAAATGCAGGTTATTATAGAAATCTTGCAGTAAACAGGCTTACACCAGGAATTAAATAGAAATTGTTATGATCAGAATAAATAATCACATCTTTTTTGTTCTTAATCATGTATATAAAACCAGTTTAAAAACGTCTTTAAAATGCTTCAAAGCACCATCTCTTTACAATAAAAACAACACTGAAACTCACAGTTAAAAAGCCAACAAACTTTGGTCTTCCTCATCACTTTGAAGGCAGAGATGAAGAAGACAAAGTGAAACAGATATTAGAAAAGCACAATGAAAACGACGTAAAAATGAGAGTAGCAGTTTGAAGTTGATTGAGGTAAGGCAGAAGCACAGGGTGTAGGAGTTTTCTGTGTGTGTATGTGTGTGTGTGTGTGTGTGTGTGTGTGTGTGTGTGTGTGTGTGTGTGTGTAAAACATGTTGACTATGTCCAGCGATTGTAGGGACCCGTCACTTGTGTAAGAGCATAAGGGGACACAGTGAGGACACCATCCCTCGGGAGAGTCCATGCTTGACGTGTGGGAACATTCATGATCCTCCTTGCCTCCTCTTCCTCCTCCCCTGTTCCCTCCTCTCCTCTCCTCTCCACACCTCCTGCTCCTTTGCCGTTCATCCCCATGCAGTTGTTCAGGCTGTCCTCCATCCTCAATCTCTCTGCCTCCTCCTCCCGTTCCCGTTCCCGCTTGGCCATTTTGGCGTCCCACATAGCCATCCCGTGGCCTGGTTCATTTAGAGACTTGTGCTGGTAGAAGACCAAGGAGATGCGGGTGGGGTGGCTTCGGTTCGGCCTGAGGATAGGGGTGGTGGCGTGGAGCTCCCGCCGTGCACACTCGATCAGGATGGAGCCGTGTGACGGTGCCACTGCGACTCCGCCTATATTGTGGTCCAGGAAGTTGTGCTCGCTGTCTGACCACACCTCTTCCTGCGTAACTTCCTCTGGTTCAAATGGGGGAGTCTGTGGGGGGAGGTGGAGAGATGAGAGTGGAGGGAGGCCATGACCCCTGACCTCTGCCATGACATCTTCTGCAGCCCTGTGGAGTCCATTGAGCCTGCTGAAGAGGCCCTCAGAGGTAGGTCTGGGGGAGAATGAGGAGGGAGGAGGAGCACTCCCACTGGGGGAGGGTCTGTGCAGAGGAGAGCAGTGCACCTCGTTGGGCTCAGTTTTAAAAGCAGGGGGGTAGTCACTAAGAGCATTATGTGGAGGTATACGTTCTGAAATAACACTCTGGTCACCAGATGCTGGAGAATAACCATTCATGGTGTCACTCATTGTCTTATAATTAAGAGCTGAGCCATTCTGTCCAAAGTGGAGGCCAGGCAGGCCATGATGGTTGGGGGAGATGACCTCCTTCTGTGGGGTGACCCCTGCACCCAGAGTGGGGTAGCTGCTGGTGCTCTGGCTGTAAGTGCTGGGTTGATTCCTGTCCGGTAGGTACTTTCCAACGCTGGCTGGCCTGGGTGGTAGTCTGTGTGAGCTGTAGCAGCCCTGAGGCTCTGTTATAAAGGTAGAAAAAAATACATTTCTAAAACACAGATTTGATAATCAAAAAACATTTATACATTTTGACCTCAACGTATTGCTTATTATAATAGAGAGATTTAGATTTACTACCTTTGTTGGGGGTTTCACTTTTTACTTTCCCCGGAGTGAGAGGAGTCAGTCCGAGCTTCTTTTCCTGTTTCTCTGCTTGAGCCTTCAGACGAGCCTCTTGCCTTATCTTACGGGCGGATTTTACTGGCTCAGCCAGTAGACGCACCTGACACATACAAAAAATAAATCATTTAAAACACTGCATTATAATTTTATTCCTATGTCTGCAATAAATGTCTTAAACCCCTGATGTTACAGTTAGAAAGAAGAAAGAAAAACAATATAATAAATCGCAAAACTGCTTTTCTATTTACTCACCTCTCTGGGAAAGGAGGACAGAACTTGAAGAGCACCACTTCGAATCTTGGCCCACTGGCCCTCCACCTGACCAAACTCATCCCTTTCAGAGATCCTGTAAAGTGGCAGAACATGGAGCTGTTCATCCTCTGGTATGTTGCGCACAGCACGGTTATCTTCCTTGGTTAAAGTGCAAACCTGAGAAAGGACACAGACAAAAGGCAAGTTGTTCAACAAAACAGTGGACTATATGTAATCCATACATCAAGGGACTGAGCCAAAACTAGAACTAATGACCTTTGAAGTAGGTCAGGGGTGCATAAATATAGACACACAATATAGGAGTAGATAACATGGTGTCACGTATAGCTTGCTTACCACAGTGCTGCCATTATTCATGTTGTGAGTATCCTTGTGAGCATGGGCACAGAAATCCACACAGGCTGTGACCCCAGAAAAAGGACGTCCCTCCCTCCTGCCCAGCCGGCAGTCATTCCCTGCCTCCTCATTTTCCACCTATGGGAGGCAAAAGGACAAGCCATGAGAAGAGTTTCATTTGTGGTGAAGACGGTAAGTGCTCTCCAATCTACAGGAAAGGTTGTTCCAGAGTCTGGGTGCGTATGAACTAAATGAAGCTTCACCCAACAATTAATGTGAGAGTCAGTAGAAGGCAGAGATCTGGAGCATAAACTGTGAGGAGGTCTTTGAGAACAAAGAGAAGAAACTTAAAGGGAAACAGAGGAATTCTATTAATACTAACAAAGAGAGCTACGTGTGGCAGCTGTTTAATATGTCGTACCTGGTTTTGGAAGGCCTCAGGAGCCAGTCTTTTATAGAGTGGTGCAAGGTCAGTGGCGAGGTTCTGAAGGTTGCTCTCTATCTTCTCCTCCTAAAAGTAAAGAGGGAATAACAGGTGATTTAAAAAAAATCAGTCTGTTGTTTATAGCGTTCTGCCTACAGTCATGATTGTCATATCCAACAAAAGCCACTAGGAGGCAAATGTTTGGTAAAGATTTGATCAACCAAGTCTGCCCTTATTGCAGACAAAATGCAGAAGAAGCAGCAGAACTGATACAACAGCATGCCAATCATACACATAATATCTTCTCACATCCCTATAACAGATGGAGAAACAAATAGGATAGATTGTAATTGATGATTTCCTCTAGGATTTGTGGTAGTTGACCACTCCCTCACCTCCTCCCGGTAGTCTCCAAGCAGGCGAAACTTGCGGGGCACTTTGCTGCGGGCAAACTTACAGCCATTGAAGTACATACTCCAGGAGCAGCCAAAGGAAAATGAAGCTCCACAGGTGTCCGGGTCCAAGCCTTGGCATGCACACGTACGACTGCGGAGATGGAGTGGTGGGAGGAAGATGAAGAAACAATCGTTGGAAAGAAGTAGACTCATATCAAAATAAAGGAAGTGATACTCACTCTTCATTGAGGGCACAGCGACGGCTGGTGGGGGAGCCGTATTGAAAGAGGGACTGCGTGAGTTCCTGGTAGAGATTATCCGCCACAGGCCGAGGGATTCCCTCCCATGCCAGAATAAGGATCACCAATACGGCAGTGTCACAGTAGTGCCCTGGTCTCTGGCGGACCAAACACAGCAGCTTCTCCTCTTCACTGTCACGCCGAATCACCTGTCAGATGACAGCGAGTGTGCACAAACAGCTTATAACAGATGAACAACAGCAAACACAAATACAGCAAGACTAGTATATTTTTTATCACAAAATCACAGATTCCTACTGACTTATCTGTTCGAAGCACTGTGATTGACCAATAACATTTTGAAATGGTCAATATTTACATGTAAGCTATGACATGATGTTTAGGGATTAAATTGGAAATAATTATATTTAGGATATGGTTACATGGTTAGTGGTAGCTAAGGGTTTGCTGTGGTTTTGGTAAGTGTAAAACTCTGGGAGTGATTTCTGTCTCTGCCCCTAAATATATAATGGTAGGATCTACAAGAACGCTTCAACAAACAGGAGACATATTCAGGACATTTAGAATAGTACCATGAATGCGAACAGCAGCCACATACCCATTTAGCTATTGGACACCCTTGGGAGCTCTTTCCTTCCTTCCCAGTGTAAACAACAACTTCCACTCTTACTGCATTTCCTTTGGTACCATACCTGTGACAAACACAACATACATATGAGAAACATTTCACTGAACACTTCTTAGACCACATTACATTGCTACCAACACGTGAGGCAACTGACAATACAGAAATCCTTCCGCACGAACAAATCAAACATTTGTGCCTGCAAGCAAAAGAAATCCTCTACTATTAATACTCTTATCAGTTAATAATAAGAATAAATACTGAAATATTTTTGATTCTTAAGTACATTTCCATTGAAAAACAGTTTTTAGTTAAGCATGGCTGTCAGATGCACTGTGATGGAAGTTGTTTTAAACTGGCTGTCATCTTGGTCTACGGGCCCCTCGTCTCAGCTCTAGGGGTTTCCTGTTTCAACATGTTGTGTGTGCTGTGTGTACATGCGTGTAGCTGAGACAGAGGGTGAACGTGTTGAGCTAGCTCAGCAATGTTTCCTTTTAATGACAGACTGTTTGGCTGTGACCCCACCCCATTCCACCAAGCCTGTGGCTGACTGGGCGGCACTCAGGATGTTTGGTAGTAAACACACCCACGTATACTCAATGTGTAAACAGAGTGGTAGTAGTTGCTCTACCTGTTCTCCATTAACTCTCTCACTGCAGCAACATTAGGTCCTGCCCCAAGGTGAGTATAGTAAGGACCTTCCTCCTTTTCAATGATTTGGTCTGTGGAAAAAAAAAAAAGATCTATTAGATATCAAAGAAACTTTACTGAGTGTAGAACTGTCCTTCAGTTAGCACAACAACTTCAAATAAACACTGACGCTCAGTTTGTCATTCCTGAAAAGGGAGTCACACTAATGTAAATGTGGTATACATAGGAAATGTAGCTGGATCTCAGTTTTGAGGCCAGCATCCAGGATGTCCACATTTCAAGGCCAAATACATTATATCAAGGGTCATCAAGACTCCACAAAGAATCCCAAAGCCTCCTCCAAATATGGCAGAGAAATGCGGCCTCCTTTTGCTTGAACTGGCCCCTGAATTAGGGCACAGCTAGTGTGTGTGTGTGTGTTTGCATGAGAGAGAGAGAGAGAGAGAGAGAGAGAGAGAGAGAGAGAGAGAGAGAGAGAGAGAGAGAGAGAAACAGAAAAACAAGAATGAGTTTGAGGTCAAAGAAAATCAGTGTTACTCGAAAGCAAACTTTCAAGGGACAAGACACTTTAGTCACAAAGTGGAATATATCAAATGTGATACCAATGAACACATCAAAGACTTGTCTTCTACTGAAAAATCTTGGGTAATAACGACTCACCCATGCATTGACAGGATGGAAGATCAGCCAGTTTTTTGGAAGGAGTATTGAGCAAGTTCTTGGTAGGGGTATCCAGAAAACTTATAGGAGACTGCAGAAAGCTGTTGACGCTGTTCTTGGATGGAGTTGACTCTGCAGAGTGGCCCAGATCCCCATCAGTAGCCGTGGACAGGACAGTGACAGGTCCTGACCTCTCCAGCTTGTAGTAGCCCTGCTGGCTTGGAGGAGGGGACTGCCGAGCTCCTGAAAAGCCATTAGCTAGACCATAGTGCCCAGTGGTGTGGCTGAGGAAAGCGGTATTGGCTGGGCTGGTGTTAGGATCAGCACCGTGCTGCAGCCCACCACAGGGCTGTGCTACCTGAGATATCAAATGCCTTTCACCCTCCTGCCCTGGTCCTGCAGCATGTCCATTGCATGGATTGTGTTGGTGGAGTGGACCATTTGAAATAGACCATAACTGGTTTTCTTGACCACGAATGTGGTTGATCCTTGTGAGAGTGCTATAATTCTGCGGCCCTAAGAGGGCTGTATTCTGTGCATTACTGTGATGAATGAGTTGCCTCCTTTCCTCCTGAGCTTCAGCCAAGTATCTCTTCAGGTCAATTTGAGCCTGAGGCAGAAACAGGTTTCTCTTGTGGTGAAGGCCTGATTTCCCTTGTGGGAGAGTCTTCTTGCCTCTGCTCCTGTGGTGCGTCTCTCCATTTGGCAAACGTTTTGAGAGGGGGGTCCTGCAGTTGATTCCCTCAGGTCCATCACTCTTCTTCTTCCTGGGCTTGGAAGGTGTAGCTTTTGTTTTTTTTATGATGGGCTTTTTCTGACTGGGGGGTAGCTGGGAGTTGTAGTTGTACATGATGGCTGACACAGGTGTTCCTTTTGGAGGGTTGTTCTCTGACTGCTGGTTGTGTCTGGACTGGATGATGAAGGCCAGGTCTGCCAGCTGAGCTGCCACCTCCTCCTCATCTCTGTTTCTCCTCACTTTACCGACAACCCTCTCTGTGTCCTCCCCAAACAACTGCTCGTGATCTTTACTGAACTTCATGTCACTGGGATTTTTATAGCTGCATTCTGATTTGGTGACATGAGAACCAAAGCCCTGCTCTGCCCTCCTGCAGGGTGCTTTATCACGATCTGAACTGGCCTCCAAGAGGTCCTGCAGAGACACCTTTGTGTTGTAGCTCGACCCCTGGGAACACTGGATGACATTCCCTTGTCTGGCCACAGGAGGGCGTATGACTGACGTCTGGTGTAGTGGTGAGCTGATGACCGAGACTTTGTTGTAGGGGATACTTGCTGGTTTGGCTTCTTGCAGGGTTGTATTTGTATTCGAGGTTGAAAATGGGGTAGCAGTGGAAATGGGATGTTCACACATACTTTCAGCTTTAATGGACCCTGGGGTGCTTTGAGGTATAGCTGCCAGTTGAGTCAAAGCCTCAATAGCAATAGCCTGATCAAAACTGAGATTTCTCTTCTCTGCCAAAGACTGCACGCTTGGGAGCAAGACACTTGGAGGAGTTTCACTTTTGATAGACTGGGGAGTCCTTTGCAGGCTAACAGGAGTGCTTTTCTGACACAAGTCATTCTTCAAGTCTTCAGGCTCTTTCTTGACGAAGAGTAAATCTGGTGGTTCTGTTTTGATGGAACAAAGAATGGAAGAACGTGAGCTGAAAAGTTTCTCCTCCAGTCCTTTCCTCTCTGTGACAGAAAGACATACCACGGCCGCCAGCGTGGACAGTGGGTCTTCGCAGACCTCATCTTCATCACTCAGCTGTGTGGTGGCTTGTTCAGTTATCCACATCCATGGCTCCTCCAGTTTGATCTTCTTTAGTGGAACTAACATGTCATCTGGAGGAGTCTTGGGCCCATTCAGAGAGCAGTCCTCAGGGATTGCAGCTATTATAGTCCTTTGAGGCTCTGATGCAATCGTAGTCCTTTTATATGCAGACTTCAGATCAGAGTGTGACCCAGTGGTCATATTAGCACCATTAGGTTTTGTCAGGTTCTCAGCAGAACCATTCTGAAAAGTCCCAGAAGAGCATACAAGTGCAATGCTGGTCAGCTCCAGCCCGGGCTCTCTTTTAACAAGTGCTGGCTGTCCGGCTTGGTCTGAGGCCAGGTTGTGGCTGAGCAAGTTGTTGATGAGGGGGGATTGTGTATGAGGTATGTGGCCTTCCTCCCCTTCATCCTCCTCTGCTGCCGTGTGGGTGTCATCCATCTGTGCCTTGCCTTTGCCATTTACCGACCCACTTTCTGGAACCACCTGAGACACAGAGACAGAGAGAGACAACAGAAAGAGAAAGGTGACTCAACAAGCTCTGGCAGTATACAGTGATTCAGCTTGTTTTAACAGTCACGGCACACAGTACAACAGATTGCCTCCCAGCATGACATGAGCATCTGCTGTAGCCACGAAGGCTGTGGAAAATATTATGGCATGTGAAAACAAAGAATCTGCTTTCTATAAATCTTGCCGAAACTGATCTCTAAACAGAGCTAATAAAAAAGTTGAACTGTGTCCGTTTACAGTCGAGGCTTCACACAGGACTACATTCCTGCCTGAGCTGTTGAGTGTTCAGAGCCACAGACCCACAGATAGCCGAGCACCAATGAGCAAACATTTGGAGTCACGCACAATTCTTGATTACGTCACTGCCGGTGGGTCACTGAGGGCTTGTGTGCATGTGCATGTGTTTGTGCTGGGTTTGTAGGTGTGTTCCCGGGCATGCATGCATGAGTATGCAAGCACGTGTGATTATTAACACAGCAGCTCTGGCATGCCTGCACATTATTTAGTGAGTGATTAACCTGCTCAGGGTCCTATCCAGACTCAGTGCATCTACAGCACTGCTTGACCCTTCAGCTAAGGTGAATTCTGACTGCCAGCAGAGCTAAAAACCATCCAAAGGTCCAAATTATTGACATATTGATTGCCCCCAAAAGCCATGTGGAATACACAATAACATAGACTGTCTTGAGTGCAGACAACCATAGCCATGACTCTATAAGCTGGAAAAAAATCTAATGATTTGGTGAGAAATACAACTGGAGGAACTCTGAGGACAGTCTTTTTGCTTTTCTGCACTGCAGTTGCCAGAAAATTGTAGTTTAGTATTGTTCACAGAAAACAGAAACATATAGTAGTATTAGAAACTAAAAGGGCACTAAAGCAAAACCCATTCTGATAAAAATCTATCTTATATACAGAATTTCCTGCAACTGAATATGTAAAAGCCTTTTTTATTTTTCATCATCTTGAGTGAGCATATATCAACGGATGTCAAGTCAAGCTGCTTCTTATTTTAGGATTTAACCCTGCATTACATTTAGAACTAAAGCCCTCAGCAGTGGAAGACTGATTAAAAATGTTGCAGCGTGACAAAGATAAAAAAAAAAAACACTGCATCATGTGCCAAGACTCAACTGACAAAAGGATCTTAAACTCGTTTGCAAGAGCTAGGGGATATGTGTGCATTACTGTGAGCTGTGTGTACTCTATGTTTATGTGTGTGTTTGTGTTAGTGTGTGTATGTGAGAGAGGTATCCCATTTTCCCTCTAAGGAACTAGCGCCACTGCAATGTAGCTGGAGATCTTCTTCTTTATCACTGTTTACCTGGCAAAAACACCAATTAAACTCCATCGCTGCCACTGATTTAATGCATTTTAAAGAAGGAGATGTGCACTCTGACAGATCAAGAGTAGCAGCAACAGTACTTCAATATAAACCAGACTCCTAGAAACCCACAGACCAAACAAAAAACACTTGCGTTTATAAGTTACATGTGCTCTGTTTAACTTTGTTCTGTCAATTTCCATTAGACATGAACTAGGTCACACTGATATACTACTACTATACTATTTTTTACTCCATTTAACTACATAAAGTACTATATTATATATGGAAATGGGTGGCACTTTTCACAAAACAAAACAATTCTCGAGGTCATATTGCTGCTAAACATCAACCCAAAGCTGGAGCTGGGGTTGGTCCATTTAAAAGGTTTTGAGAAATCCTGGATGAAATGGTAACAGTGCATTTGACTTTCAAGCGTGCAGAGTGAAAAAAAGAGTTGAACCTTGTGACATCCTGCATGTGATGGCCACTGAGGAAAGGCATGAACTGTCATTCATGAGGAAGAAGGCATTGAAAAATAAGAGATTAAGCAGTGCGCCGGAGCTAAAAGCTAAACTTAAGTTGGGAAACAAAAGGTGTTGAAGGCAGCGCTGAGGTCTAAGAGGATTAATACTGAGCAGCCTTCTGCATTGGGTGATTAAAGACGGTTGTTGGTTACCTTAAAGAGATCTGTTACTGTGCTGTGTGAAGCCAGAGAGACAAATGTTAACAAGAACAGTTACTGACATACAATATATTCATTTTGGGGCTAAAGTATGAAGGCTGTGTTTAATGAGACATTTAATGTTCTTTCTTACATGTGATGTTATCACAAATCTGTAGCATTCAACACAGTCCAGGAGCTTACTTTGAGACGAAGTACTCAGAATGTTTTTTTTTTTTGCTATACCGACTGACTCTCAACCTAGACTGTATTTCTGATAAGGTGATTTGACACCCAAAAAGGTGCTGTGTGAATTCATATAGTGTTTGGTTATAAATCTACAAAAAAAGGCACAATTTTGTAGCAAAGGAAACAGAGTTAAAAACAATATGTGTTCAAGCTGTTAAGAAAATCAGTCAACATCAGTGGAAAAAGTTTGTTATCTTCCTCTTCTGTAATGATTTTCTTCCACTCTCATTGCTGAAATTCCATAAGACATGCAGCTCTAAATAGAAGCCCTCGCTCTTAGACTATGTGGCACTGGTGGACCTGGTGTTCACCGCTGAGATATCAGAAAATGTTTGTCATATTTAACTCTATTGTAGCTGTGCTGGAAATATTTTAACATGGAACCGCCTTGTGTATGTTCCTGTTCAGTTATCCACAGGAATGCAAGGCACACTGGAAAAAGCTATTTATTAAAACAATGCTAACAAAGTGTTCAGAGGCTGAACTGTCCAGTGAGCTGTTCATGATGAATAAAATGTTGAGATCAGACATGATTAGTATGGTAGAGCCAATTTATGTGGTATTCTGGATCCCTCTCTTATCCTCTTTCTCTCCAGTCCACTGCATGGCTTTCAGGACTGTTCCTTACTACTACTAACATGCTGCTGATGCAACAGATAGCTGGAGCTCAGGCTGAGGCAATACCAAAGCTGCCAATGCAACAGGGTTAGATACGAGCTCCGAGCAGCGTGTGGAAATGGGCCACCGTGATGTTCAAATGAGAGAGTGGGAAGAAGAGTGGGAAAGATGGGGAGCAGGGGGGGAGAGGGAGAGGGAAAGGCAGTGTGTCTATCACAATAAACTGCTTTCAATGACAAAGCAGCACTGGCTGGCTTCCAGCACTGCACCAGACACACGCGTGTCTCTATGCATTGTGTATGCGTGTGCATCCATTTGCGCATCCAAGTATTCAGAAACTAAAGCTGACATCAAAGTAGAGCCCCTGTTTTTAATTATGTTACATTTAACATTTAAAACCTAATGCAGGATGTAAATGCAGAGTCATGTGCTCTCATTTAGTCACTGGGTCTCTGGAGAGAGCTGTGTCTGTGATGTGTTAGGGCTGTGTCTTTGTGTGCCTCAGGGTGTCTGAAGTGTCACTCACAGGGCACTGTACTGTTTTAAATGCAAACACAGTCTTCTTCTTTTTTTGTTAGACAAACACACACCCAACTGCTACAGTTGTCAAAGCTTTAACAATCAACAAAACATGTGCTGGAGTAGCTACGGGTGAGGGCTTTACACAAACACACGCTCAGAGACCTACCCTAGCAACAAAAGTGTGACTGCTACTTGAATCCTAACAACCCCCTCACTCTCTAATGGGTCTCCAAGGAAGTTTTGAAGGTGCGTGTATCTATTCTTAACTCAACGCAGACATACAAACACACTCACATACATATAAACATGTTCATACACACCTGAATTCAAACACATCAACTGAACTGTGAGGGCTGAGAAATAAAACAGTGTTAGGACCTCACACTTTTACAATGAAAAAGCGTACTTCCTTCCTGGCTGAGAGCGTAAGTGGTGGTTTATGTGTGTTTCTACAAACATGTGAGAATTTCCTTCATTCATTGAGAGAGCGTTTCCTGTGTACGCTCAATGTCATGTAGTTAACATACAAAACGCACTACATAAAAAGAAAACCAGTGGCAAAGAAGCCCTTATATGTTGCAATAAACTCAATAAACTTGAAAGAACTGCCTCCTGGTACACCAGTTCACATCAGAGCTTAATCAACTATAAAATTATACAGATTAAGACATTAGTAACAGAGGGACCTTTTCTACAAACCACACAATAATAACACCATTACTACTGCAGCCAAACAAGTAAAGCCTGCCAAATTACAAGTTACGACCCAAGGCTTACAAGCACTCCACTTCTTCAGAAAACAGCAGGTGCAGAAATATGGCTGTCCAAACCAGTACAAGAAAGAGAACGGCAACCAAAGGGGCTCTTCATACAGTACAACGGCTAAAAAAGACATGCACCGGGGAGAGAGAAGAGGGGTGTCTGTTACTGTGGAAACTGACCTCTTTATTGCTGAGTTTGTTGTCACATCCTTTAAACACACCTGTAAAAGACAAGCCAAACACTCACACACAGAAGCCCAGGTCCTGAGTGATTCATGAACAATAACAACACCAGCTTCCAAATAAAGCGCTCCAATCAGCTAAATCCAGGGTGGCAGAGAGAGAGAGAGAGAGAGAGAGAGAGAGACAACGGAGGATAACCTCTAGATGAGCTCCACTGTAGCTGACCCATCTGCAGCGAGACAATAGACCCCAGGGTGAACACTCCGGCTGCCTTTACCTTGTCTGTCCTCGGAGGAAGCCCCTCCGGTTTAGGCAGCATATCCCTAAAAGGTACTGGTGGCCATCTTGCTTTGCCTTCCTTCAGCTGCAAAAGAAAACACTGGCTACAGTAGCCGTGCGCAGGGCAAGCTCCTGGGTGTCATGACTAGGGCGACTGTGAGCCGCTGTAGCAAAGTGCTGCTACAGCAGACGCGCACACACTCACCGCATACACACAGACGTATAGGCACACACACACACACACGGGATGCCTTTTGCAGACGCAGACAGAGCCTCATCAGCCAATGGCGTGAGGACCTTAGCGGCTTGTAAATTATCTTCCATGCCTAGACTCTCCTAAACAAAGGATCCCCTATGTGAGCCTTTTACTCCA